CCATCTCTCCCGAGTAAGTCTTATAGGCAGAGTTTCAGCAAAACTTTTTCATTGAGTTTTTGGGGTAGTAAATTGGATAGAAACAAGTTCCTTGGTTGGACGGCATGTAGGCGCGGTGGAAACTCTTGTGAGCCAAAAAGGTGAGAATTCACATTGAAGCCTAGCGAGGAAAGAGCTTCGCGTTGGGTAAAGCTGTTGGATTGAAAGCGATTGGAGCTAAGACATGTTGTGGGTCCGCAAGACTGTACAAGTCTCTACAGAAAGCCCTCCTTCCGATTTATGCCGCATGTAGCTCACTCCTCGAATCTGGAGCTATCCGGTGTTGCTGAAATGCGCTACAAATGTAATTGATCGTTTGGTAGTCAAACGGAGAGGTTCAAAGTAATAAAATAGACCCGCACAACCTTTTCCCGACGACTGAATAACACCGCGACTGGAGAAACCTTTGGAGCGGATTTTGCTGAATCACTCCTACGATCGCAATCCGGCTTTCACTCTACGAAAACTCCATGTTCATGGCAGTTTTGATCGGAGAGTTTATCTAGTCGTTTGCGATAGGATCGTAGTACGAATCGAAAGACAATGGGCTATTTCGTAGCAACGATTGATTGGATCAGTAATCGCAGAAGACAATCTTCTTCTCACTCCCGATTATAAGCTATAAACAGGTTCTGTGTCGAGACTTCGGCTACGAAGCTTGAACTTGAATGAGAATCAGTATGGACCAGGAAAAAGGCCACCTATAAAGCTCGGTAGATGCTGTACGATCAGTTTTCAGCGACAAAGCCCTAGACAAAAAGGGAAACATCGGGTAACCTTGACAAGTGCCGTTCGGATCCCTTTACCCGCCCCGCCATAAATTATCCTCCGATTCAATGACCCAGATACTTATAGATAAATCCGGCAAAACATTTTCTCTGTGCCCCATCTTGAACACCTTCTCTGAGTCTCTCGATAACACCTGTTAGCCTTGAACTACGCACTTCTTCCAACCCCATACTGTTTTTCTGGTGAATTTGTATGTAATGATTTACATATTATTTTACGTTTTTTTTCAGATGAGTGCCAGTGTAGCGATCTTCCTCGCTGTGATGGCCTGTCGCATACGGCAAAATGACACCGAACGAGAAGCTGAAGGAGTGCTGTGCCACCCTCACCGAAGCCGATAAAGAATGCGTCAGCAAGTTCTGCGACTTCAACGCCATCTCTCAGACTAACGTTAGTTTACCCTTTAATTTCAGACTTCAATTTATTAGTTTTTCATTTGATTCTGACTTTTCACACTGGTGCCTTTATAGTTCTTCTGCACGGTGATATATTTTCAAAATACCTGAATTTCCAACTATAAAGAGCTACAGAAAGGTCTCTTGGGTATCCAGCCTCTCAAGTACTTCGCTTAAAATCAATAAAAATTTTGACTCACCGGTATCTAGATTTCGCGACTTCAAAGCAACACTTGGGGATTTTTGGAATTTCTTGAGCCGCTCGCCTGTCTGAATCGCAAATTATTCCTTCGTCCTGTTGCCCACAATTCGAATCATGATTCTGCTTCTCTGCCGCCCGCGAAATTTTAACAATAACTTTACAGCTTATTCCCGAACACCCTGTTAGATAAACAGCTCACCTACTACTTCTAGATGAAGCCTCTATCTGGTCTCTTCAAAGCATAGAGAGAATAGAATAAAGTAGCGGAACTATCAAATGTTGCTCCCACCCCACCCCCTCCGCCATTGCTAGCGCCAAACAGATAACTTCATGCAGTGCTGCTGGCCACTTTCAAAAGTTCGAATCGAGGCATGTTCGACGACAGCCGGAGGGCTATTCCAGTACCTCTCTCTACCTGCCCTCCGTGTATTATCCTAGTTCTAGTGGGGTGAACTCCTGTGAAGCTGGAGGCAAGCACGTCGAGCTACCATGAATTTGTGAGCCCTTATAAGCTCATAAATAATTCTCTAGAGGCTCGGCACGTTGATAGGAGTTAGCAAAAAAGCAAAATGCCCCCTTGTGGCCGAACTGCGCCTTCGGGTCTACTGCTACAGAGGTCGTTCTCGCCATTAACTCCGACGGTCTTCTATTGAAACACGGTATTCCGGCTCCTAGTCGAGCATCAAAGGGGCACCTCGATTATTCGGATTCTGTGGTCCTAATTGGTTAAACGATCAAGAGAGCAAAACGCGCTCTAGATAAGGTTCTCCTTTTGCGAATAATTTTGGTCATTAGCCAAGCATACGTAAAAGCAAGCGGGACCAAACGTGAGCGCACTGGCGGTGGGTTTGGGCGGAGACATTATGCTATCAGAATTCCTGGCGTCCTTGTGACATAGTTGTGGATGACGAAAATTTGACCGCAGGATTGTAGGATTGATTGTTCTGCAGGATTGTATCAGTATACTAGGTAACCGCGGAATATGTTTCCAATTATAACGAAGCGTTCATTTTCAGATTTTGAGCTTCCTATCCAAATGCTCCGAGAGAGGCCCTACCGTCGGAAACATGTGGGATTGCGTCTCTTTGCGTCACGATCACACTGAATGTTGCAAGGTACGTGCTAATATCGTCGCGAACTTTTTAGGACTTCTCCCTTACCATTTCACTGATTTTCGAGATTTCACCCTCTTCCGCTTCAATACAACCTCAAGAAAGGAATTTTCAGAGCAAGGGAGTCGAAGGCAAGTGTCTGGAATACTGCTCGGCTCATGATGGTGTTCCTACGAATTACCTCGACTATCTTTTCTGCACGGAATCGTTCAACGAAATCAGGGAGTGCTTCACGGAGCACATCGAAAAGAATCCACCATTCAAGAAGAGAAAGTCAGGAAAGGGAAAGAAGAAGGAATAGATGTGCAATTTAATAAATTATTTGGCTATTGTTGATGCTGTTGGGTAAGTAAGATGTTTATCATCCTGAGCTATTCTTTATTATAGCTACCCCCTGCTGAAACCTTCTATCTGGTTCAGGAGAAAGTTTACCATTTCTCGTCCTTGAATTAGCCAACATCAAGAGGAAAACGCGTCCAAAACCTCAATGTGGTCCACCTAAACGATGGATTAGTGGGAACGTTACCATAAAGTTGATGACGTCGCAGTCAGCCGGGGCGATGTCAAAATCGGAATAAGCTCGCTTCCAGCTGTCTTTTTCTGTCATTAATGGTCGGCTGATTTTTTCTTTTCAAGAAGAAAACAACCAATGGTGTGAAAGCCACGTCTGCTCATTCCATCCTTGAACTGCCCGAACTGTTTGCGACGACTTTGCCTGTTGTTCCCAAAGACGGGCGTTAGAATTCTTGATTTATTCTCATTATGGCCGGCTATTGACAAACTGGAATTGTGGTTTTGTAATGCACGTGATAGTTGCCGGCAACATGAAGAATCCCTTTTAGCGAAATTGACGACTCTCATGCAAACGCGCTGTTCTCGCCCGCTCTGTCGGATCCTTCCTCTCTGGCTTTGAAGGCAACAGTCATTTCGCTTAAGGCCGTTAGAAACGTCGTAGTTGAAACACGTTGTTTGCAATAGCTGAATTACGTGTGCCGAAAGAAAAATGAGCCATCCGAAAGCTTCCTAGGTAGCCCTCGCTCTTTCAGAGAAAAAGCAATTGGCTGATTCAAAAGGCAGATAATTAGGCTAGACGGGCGAACGAGGGTAAGGGGAAGGGTTAAGGGGAATAGCAGGGATATGTGGCAAGAGAATCGTAATTCGCCGCGCCAGTGGGCGTCGCGTGCGACGTCGCGCCTGCTAATGACGACGATTTGCAGGTGGTATTGGTCGAGAATAGACAATGTATAACCAAAAATAGACATAAGTTTCCACTAAGTCTTTGTCTACATGAGACCATGCTTCAAGTTGAAAGGGTGCATAACTGAGAAAAAAACGTCGGGCCCGGTTGCCGCGCGCGAACGAAAGCCGGCAACGCCCTGATTTACGATTCTCATGCCCGTCTCCCGGAACAGCAGACACTGGGCGGAGTTGCTTGCGCTCAGGAGAAGTCATTTGGGCATCCTGACGCCTTTGCGCCCGAATACTTCAAAATCCTGACGTGAACTGGAACAAGATGTCGCCTAAATGGACGGCTTTCCTTGTTTCCCTAACCGACCATGATTCCTGATGAATAATCGTGGAATAATGCCTCCAAGACGCACGTATCATATGAGACTATAGAGAAAAGGGTTGGTTCATCCAGCTAGCGTTCGCCAGGCATATGGCCTCTCACTGGTTCCATCACTCCATGCCTGATGATCTTATCCGCTGCTGCAATGGTTTCTCCGCCAGATTCCCTGGTGCGACTAAATTTCGAGGCAAACTCATTGTTAGACAAGGGAAAGCGAGGAAGAAAGTGATCAGTCCGGCTGGGGACCGCTTAAATTGGCAATATATTTTTCAAAATTAATGTTGAAAGACTTTGTTTTTTTCCCTTCACTTTACCTCCAGAATTAGTGGAAGGTCAGGTGAAAGCAGAGAAAGTCATAGGTAACTTTGGTAAAATAGGACTTCGAATTGTCTCCTCAGGAATCTTCGTGACTCTTTGAAAACGCTAACAAGTCGAATCCCGTCAATCTATAAAAAAAAGCGAAATTTGAAAAATGTGACAGAACTTTTCCATAAACCTAATATTTTCTGCTACTGCGGTTTTCTCTGGGCTGCACGACGCCGTTTAAGTAGCTCTCTTCACGACTGTGATGCTCTGAAGGTGAAGAAAACTGTACAACCGCCTCTGTTCTATTTCGGGAGGAGCTCTTCCGCGATATCATTTGCAAAAGTGCAGTATCTCTTTTAAGTAGGTCTCGGTCATGAGTGTGTGCGCCCTTGTCCCCAGTTTGAGCCATTTCATCCATCTTATTCCTTTGTCGCCGAATCTAGGTTGAACTTGGTATTAAAGGCTATTTCACAACTTGATTTTCCACCCTACGCTCTTGGGAAAGAAGTAAGTGTTGCTTGGAGGATAAGTAGGTAACGTAGCTCCTCGCTTCATTTGTTTGCTGAAAATTGGGAACTCTCCGTGCCAAACAGAGGCTCCCTGACACGCCCTAAGCCTGCAGAAAGGATTTTGTTGTATAAATTTTGCAAATAACGAAAACGAAAAATTCGAGAAAGTCGGTCATTCAAAATGGGGGGGGGGGTGGTAAACCATATTTCGCATAAGGTGAGAGTGTGAATATGGCCATTTCAACCACCGATTAAGGAAACAAGTCATGAACCATGACGGCTGTTCGAGCGGAAGGGAATCTATTGACTTTCACCATAACATCCAGGGGTATGTAGTAAGCTGAGGATCCCCAAATGGGGGGGGGGTGGTCGTGTTTTGTCGCTGGAAAGGACGAGATCATGCTTGGTCGGCAGAGAAAATTTCTACCCCGAACCGGTTATTTCAGCGACCACACATGCAACTAAAATTGGCTTGCGCCTTGAAGCACTGTTTGAAGGTGGACCAGATGTGTTCGCGGCCTCTCCCTCTACTTCCGATCTCCCTCCTTGGTAAGCAATTTTTCGGGAAAGTTCGCCAAACTATTGACTGGCTGTAAAAGGGGGTCCTACCTGGGACGGAGATTCGGAGCGATAAATAGTATCTAGCGAAATTCCCTCCATGGCGAGGACGTGCCCTGATCTCCAGTGAAACACTCTGTTATGGAAACCAGATGCTTCAGCGTAGACATGTATGGCGCGGATACTGTAGGTCCCAAACTCGACTTAAGCTTCCTTCTTTTTGCGCCCCTGAGCAACGAATTCAATCATCGGAGGCGGTCTCTTTTTCCAGTCCATTCGACAAACTTCGGACCGGTCATGTGCAGCAGTCCCTGTTGAAGAGCTAAATGGCGACCGAGTTGACATACAGGAATGAGCCGTAGAAAAAGGCATTTCGCTCAAGTATACCCTGAACAAATTCTCGCGAGAGTGACGGGCTTAACGAGTAACTGCAAGGACATTACCCTCAACTCTTGTATCTTCAGGATCCGTCGAGACAACCAGTGACAAATCACATGGCGTTTCAGGCTGACTTCTACGGTTTAGTCGGTAATGGGGGCAATCTGCCAATGCTAGAAAGCATTCACGGGATAATTGAGGAGTAAATGTGAATGGCAGTAAATAGAAATAAACATAAAGACGGGCAACTTAATAATCTACAAAAGGTTCAGCTGATTAATCTGGTGCAATCAGCAATTTTCGCAGCCCAGAGAGAAGATGTGGATACGAGTACCAGGGCGGAAGATACCCAAGATGTTCCTCGATAAGCAGGAGCTGGCCCTCGCCCATCACCTTCATGTACACCAAAATATGAGGTCATCTCCAGTCGCGGCCTGAGTGGAGAACGCCTTTGGAATTCACGTGGCCTCCAAACAGCTGCGAAACTTCTAGTATGGAGTCATCCACGGATAGCTACTTACTCTATTCACATTTATCCTCAATTAACCCCATGAATGCTTTCTAAGATAGCTACCTGGAGACCAGTACTCTCGATATGGATGAATCACATCGAGCAGCTCCGACAACGTCGCCACGGTCTAGGACATCATCTTCACCACAGTCGCCAAGGCGCGGGTTGATGGTATGGACCGGACGTACCTGGAATGGAGAGACCAATATTTTCTTTCGTGGGCCCCGGACTGAAGGTGAGCGCTGGCGGTTACATCGAGCAACTAAAGAAGAATATCCTCTCCACATTTCGTACTCCGGCAGGTACCTTCTTGGAAACTTTGTACTGCTACAGCATTGGGTGCCACCACATGGAATCGAAGGGCGTTGGAGAAACTCTCGCCTACTTGGAATGGAAGGGGGCTGAGTACCTAAAGAAGATGGATATCCAAGTAGGTCACCTGACCTGAATCCCCCTCAGTTATCGTCCTATAGGGTGGTCTACGGTGGCGGAGAAATCGACTATCTCGCTGATCTCAGGCACCACATCGCGGTCGCGTGCCAGAATCTCTCGATGGCGCTCGTCCAGAAGGCTGTGGCGGAGTGTCATGATAGTATTTAATATATCCCTTCAATATGGTGGTAGATAATGTCCGATGTAATTCATGAAAGTGTAATTATAGCGCACGAATTGTCAATGAAGAAAAGTGACCTTTTTTTGCCCCCCTGTAAATACTGCCAAATAATACGTAGGCAATCACGGGATTTCGCGAGAAAGTCGGATAATAGACTATCCGAAGGGGGACTCGATATCGCCAAGAACTTTAATATGTCTGCTGAACAGTTTGGGCGAAGGCATAATCTTGTCTCAGCAATCGCAGATCATCATAATAGACCGAAGCTACGATGGGCTGAGCGCCTCTACTGATCTGTCGAACGTCATCATATTTGAACCGGCATGATCAACGGGTTCATGTTACGGTCAAAGAGACACAGCAGAATATTCAAGAGTTCACCATCTTTGGATAATCTTTGACCTGATAATCAGATAAAGAGAGGCGATGTTACGCTGTATCAGTTGCGACACTGATCGTAATGCGTTCAGCGATCAGCGCCGGTTCAACCTTCACTTCGCGCCTCCATAGCCCAATTGATCGGATTAAAAAGAAAGCGCAAAACACTGCCTAGTTACGCCATATCAGCTTGCTATCCTCAGTCGCACTGGCTCCACTTGCAGTTCCTTCTCTATACTCCTAAGCTCTGCTACATTTATTTGCTCGTAGAAACGACTTGAACAGCTTCGCAAATCGATTCTCAAGCGTGGCTTTTAAGTGCGTCCAACTTTTTTATTCGTTATTTGTTGTTTTTATTTTATTTGGGATAAATATGATGCTTTCATTCGAAGCGATCTGCAAAAGTTCCAACAGTTCCGATGGCACACGGAAAGCAGCGAAAATTGAATGTCCTAGCGTTTTCTGGTTTTAGAACCTT